CACCACCACACACACATAAAAAATAAAAAAATAAAAAAATAAAAAAGAGTTTTTTTCACTATTTAATTTGTGAGTAGAAATATCTCTTGAAAAAAATTATATACCTTAAAAAATAATAGCAAATTGAATAGTGTTTTTAATGAAATTTTTATGTAATAAAGATTATTGGAGTAATAATTTTGAGTGTTGTTGAAGGCTTGAATCTAAGAAGAAGTTAGAAGTCAAGATAGCTACTATTCCTTGTGTCCCAATTTATGTGTCAATACTTTTTTCTTTACTGTTCCAAAAAGAATATCATACTTCCTTATTTAGAAATAATTTAAGGGATAATATATAAGTTGCACTCTCAACTTGTCCCCAAAAGTCAGTTTCTCATTCAACTTTTACGGGTGTTCATTTTCCATCCTATACTTGTCCGAATTGAATTTAATACCTCCCTGAGACATATACAACCAGTCTCGTGGTGGAAGGTGTTGCACACTCTCCCTATGTCTTGACCACATATTATCCCAATAGATTCAAGTTGATTTTACCTTTTCTTTTTTGTCTGTTTTCTAATTTTTACTCCTTTTTCTTATTTCTCTTTTTTAAATTTCCATCTCCTTGCTTATATTTGTTTTGAAAATCTCTTTTCTCAGACTCCCTTCGTACAATGCATCACCCCAATTATAAAATTAGATTTAGATAAATTAGTTTTCAAGTTAATTAAGATTTTTGGCATTGTAATACCAATAGAAAAGGGGTTGAGAAGTGAGATATGACTGTGGTTGGAGGTTGACAGAAGAAAATGGAAGCTCTGCGACACCGGAAGAGATTTTTCGACCAACATCTGGTGGAATTTTATAGTTTAATTGAGTTTTTCCATGTTAATTCATTTAATTTTCATGGGTTTTCAATAGTCAAAGGTGAGAATACAACTGATGATTTTTACAACCTCTCATTAACTTTTCATCTTAATTTTCTGCCGGAAAGAGGAAGGGGGATAGGCAGCAATGGAGGTTTTGATGATGGAAAATAGAAGGAAGAGAGAGAAAAAGTGGGAGAAAGAAAAGAAAAGGGAAAAGAGCAAGAAAATCTGTTCTTAAAAAGGAGTGGAGTGAAAATGGAGAAGAAAGAAATGGCATTGAGATAGAGAAAAAGAAGGGTTTCAGAGGGGGGCGGGGAGGGGTGAAGATGAAGAGGAAAGGGGGTGGGGAGGGGAAGTCCAAGAAAATATGTTTTTTTTTACCTTAAATTTTGATAATACGCGCCTCCACTTTAATTTTTTTTAATATTTTGCCACATCAGCCTTTAGGGTGGTATTAAATTCATTTCGGACAAGCATAGAATAGAAAATGAACA